TTCACCTCGGCCTCCCAAAGTGCTGGGATTACAGGCTGAGCCACCGAGCCCGGCCGCAAATAGTTGAATTAAAATCCAGGCAAACAGGCTTTCAATTTTCATCTTCAAGTTCTGAATTATTTAACATATTGCAACAGATTTTGTATTCAAGTTTAATTATGTTTTGTAAAAATTTGTTTTAATAATTCCTATATAAACTTTATTCACAAATTTCCTATTCTATTCTCTATACTTCTCTGTTTCTGTTTTCTCTGTCTTCTTTTCTTTCCACAAGTTCCCAAGGACAATCCCTAAAAAAATGATTAGTCCTAGAGTTTGATTGGAGGTAAATTTATCCCAACAATCCTCAGGTCTGTGGATGTCTAGAGTATAAATCTGGAAGAGAGTAACACAACATGGCATCAGCACCTAGTCTGGAGTTTGGGACATCACAAATAAATATGTCAATACATAGAAGAACACAGAATTTTATTACAGAAGTTTAAGCAATGGGAAGAACTTATTGTACCCCAGACTGTTTTCCAATATTAAAGAAGTGTCCTTCATGGGATTCATCCAGGCTGTTTCCTAAAAGCTTCCGTTGAGAGTATGTGAATGTTTTGGGAGCTACCCATACTGTTTCAGTTCTAATACTCTAGAAAGCTCTTCCTTACGCTACTGAGTGAAAATCTGCCCCCCTGAACTCCCCCCCACCCAGCTCTAGCCTCCTTCTTCAGAGCACAGTAACTCAATGGAGAACAAGTCACATTTGGGCAGCACAGATCGTTACTGTGTGGGGCTGTCTGCTGCATGGAGGATATCTGCCTGGCCCTCACCACTCAGTGCCTACTGTGACCCCTCCAATTCAGTATCATAACCAAACCCTCACATTTCTAAATCTCTCTCCCATCCCCACACACAGATCTGCTGTGAGCAACCTAGAACAAGCACCTCCATTCTCCCCATGTGGCCCTGCAAACGCATCAAGAAAGTTTCATGCTCCTACCTTCCTCTTCCTAGGCTTAAGGAGCTAACTACTCACTATGTGGTTGCCAGACTTCACATCACCAGGATGTCCTTTCTCTTCGAATATGAGAAGGCTGTGTCCACCTTAAACACTGCATCAAGGACTGGACAGACCACCATAAATACAAGTTAACAAATAAAGTGGGCTCCAAATACTTCTCATAATATTTGTGATTGTCTTGATAACTTTTGCTTTCCTCTACTGTCTAATATTCAGATACTTAAATATTACTATATACCCATTATCCAGACCAGACAATCAAGTGACAGTGACAACCCTCACATAGCCGAGTTACAAACAAAAAGGGCTGCAAAGAAATTCTTAAGAAGAAAATGGTGACATCCTGGAGAAATGTTAATTCTCAAGTGAGGAAAACAAGGGGATCCAGCACAGGGCTCACTTTATACACAATGGACTTTAATTTCCTTCCTATCAGGTTATGCAAGTCTTGTCTACACTGATAAGTAATTTGCAATAATCTGTATAAAATCAGTCATCTAATACAGGTTCACTAACATCTTTTCAATTCTATTCAATGAAATATCAGTAACATTGGTACAAAGATACAGTCCATTTACTAGCAATTGATTTAATTAAGATCAGATTTAGTGCAATCATTTTACAAGTCAACAATGTAGACTCTCACTATAAGCTTGTGGAGGGCAGGGGTTATGGTGCTGGGTGAATATCCTGAAATGAGCTTCCTGCGGTCTAGACAGAACTTTTGACGTGTTTAGCATTTCGTATCTTATCTGGCCTTGGTCTCTATGCCAGTGGAACCCAAACTTATGAATGATTCGTTTGTTAACCATTACCATTACCCACCTTTATCTATCAGTTTGCTTTGGTGTAAATCAACCCAAACCACAAACATCAGACACATTACTGAAATTTTTCCAGACATGAGTTGGAAGAAATTCAAATCTAGGTTTAGGTTTGTATTATTTCTCTGAAATAATCAGCAAGACCTTTTTTTCTACGAGAAAAGAAGAGGGAGGAGGTTGCTCAAGGTAATATGAACTAGGTTATTTGTTTTAAGAAGTTCCTTGCCTGGTAAACACAGGGTGCTTTGTTTAAATAACTTTTATAACTTAAACGAAGGAAAATGAGGACAGATAAGAAAAAGGTCAAACCTGGTGAGCCAGGTGGGCGCCCACGACGACCAATGCCACATAGTAGGGGATGGTTTGGCTGCTGTTCACGCCCACCATGCCCAGTGCCCCTAGCATCGCTAGGCCAAAGCCCCTGAGCCAGAGCTTGGTATCCTCCCCGAACCGCAGTGCCGTGGACTTCAGGCCGATCAGAGCATCATCTCTTTTGTCCTAATGTCAGAAAGTAATAAGAGACTGTCTGTTTAAGATTTAATTCACGTGCCGTAAAATTCCCATTTGGAAATGTACAATGTTGTGGTTTTAGTATATTTACAAGATTGTACCATCATCACCACTATCCAATTGCAGAAGAAACTGTCTTTTGAAGAACATGCAGATATATCATAAGCTGAAAGATGAGTGACAAAGAAAGACTGATTAGCAATAAATGTGCAGGTCAATCAAAATCAAGTGCCACCGTGAAAATCACCATCCAGTTGTTTCTACATCTGTGTTTCTTACAACCCTATAATGATTTTTAACTATACTTTTACTCTATTGGGACTAAAATTCAGTTCCCATTTTTCACATAGCTCCTCTCTACCTCAGAGTTCTCAAATTGCAATAATTTGTGGTTTATCTGTACATTGTGGTTTCAATCTTATTAAAAGCACAGCTGTAGAAAAACACTTATGGTGTACCTAACCACATCCACTCATAGTCCGCTTCTAGCCGCTTCCAGTTGGCTGTGAGTGGATGTGCCTCTCTTCTCAAGTTCCGCCTGGGTACAGACAGGTCTGAATGACACAATCACAAACAATTGTCTGGCTTCTTCCAGCAACTTTATTGCAAGCATTCCCGTATATTGCTGTAACTATGATCACGTGATGTCAGTGGCTACATGCCAAACTCTCTACACCAGCCCACAGGCAGCTAGCTATCTGATAGCCATCTTTTGAGTCCCAAATCCAAATAATAACAAGTCTAGGGTTAGTATGTCTGTTTCTCCTATCATGCTGCAGTCACTTTCATGCCAACTATGTCTTAATTACGTGAATCACAAAAGTATCAAAGTGGTATTTTACTGAAGATGTTACTCCAACTGGAGTGCAGCTAACCTAACCACTGGCTAGACTTTACTGAAAAAAGCGTAGGCATCTTTTCTAAGCTGTGAGCCCAGTTTCATTGGAAATAAGGCTGATTTCAAAACTGTCTTTTCATGATAACACAAACGTTGTGAGGCATAGAAGGCTTAGTGGAAGAAGACAGGATGAAATCCAGATACATTCTTTAAGTAAATGATGGATAATGTGCAATTCTATTTCAAAAAATACTAAGAAAAAAACCTTTTAAAAAAGTAGATAAATGTATACACACAAAAACAGTACTAACTGTAGTCATGGATGTGTTAATGTGATGGTGAAAATCATTATTTCACAATGTACATGTATATCAAGTCATCACTTGTATATCTGAATATATATAATTTTTATTTGGCAGTTATATCTCAGTAAGGTGGAAAAGAAAGTCACAAATGTACAAAGAAATTAATTCACAAGCCAAAGGAAACAAAAAAAAAAAAGTTTTAAGAATTAAACTCTGGCCGGGTTCGGTGGCTCAGCCTGTAATCCCAGCACTTTGGGAGGTAGAGTGAGTGGATTGCCTGAGCCCGCGGGTTCGAGACCCGCCTGGGCAACTTGGTGAGACCTCATCTCTACAATAAATAAAAAAAAATTAGCCAGGTGTGGTAGTGCGCACCTGTAGTTTCAGCTACTTGGAAGGTTGAGGTGGAAGGCTCGCCAGAGCCCAGCAGGTCGAGGCTGCGGTGGCCGGGAACGGCCACTGCACTCCAGTCT